GAACTGTTGGTTTAGAGCTGCTGTTCCCTTATCTTTTTCATCATTGCTTTATGGCTACTCTGAACTGATTGGGAGAAATAAATTTGTAGTAACCTTCTGCATCTCTAGTGCTGACCGAGATTAATCACGGATTTAATAGCATCTACATATTCTTCTCTGGCAGCAATAGAAGGGGAGGGAAAAGTGTAACTGCAGCTGTGGAGGAGAAATAAATATAAAAATAACATGAATAAAGAGCCAAGGCTGACAATCATGCTACAGAGAGATGGTAATAGAAAATGAAGCAGGAACAATGAGTAAAAAGGGCTTTAAAGTGAACTATAACTTTTTTTCTCAGGTGAGCCTCAGAAACAGAAGGAGGCAGAACTTCGACACGAAGAACTTTCCTCTCAAGTGGGCGGTTGCAATGACTTTGCAACCCTTTTAAATATTTTTGAACAGTGCAAATCAAGGTATAAAATGATTCCCTAAAGTAAGTGGTTTTGCATGGCTCATGACTTGCAGTTGCTGGTGCTTTTTTAACTGTATTCCATAGGTACATGTACCCCTACCTAGCTGCAGATATCTTCCTTGGTGTGACAGAGAATTTCTATCAAGACACCTATTATGTAAACTAACAAAGTAGCTGCCTGTGTAGGTTGCCTTCTTTGTACGACCATAACAAATAATAGAGGCAACTTTCTGCCTTCAGCTTACAAAGAGCTTCTTTATAATACCAGTATTTCTGTCCTCAGCAAGTCTCCTTCAGCTTGGTGCCAGAAACACTGGATCCATTGGAGAGCTTTAAAGACTGCTTTTAGTGTGGAAACACAACTTCGGGAAATAATCAGTAAACTGAAACAGGTGAAAAATCTGCTTTTAAAATGTGATTGAGTTATATAAGCTTGTATGTAAGACATGCTAGAATCCTGGGCCTTTTCCAGATAGCTGTTGTCTTTCTCAAGTAGAAACTAAACCAGCTAAATTTCTATTACAGCATCCTTGCTGTAGCTTATGTAACTAACAGAGGTGTGGTGAGGGTAATGAGCAGAAAGAAGTTTTCTTCCTTTCCTCACGGCTTCTGTGAGGTGTGGAGCACAAAACTTAAAATCCCTGGGGTGCAGGGAGAGTTTTTTTTTAATCAAAGATCCTAATTCATGTTGTTTTTTTCCTTTTCTTTACATAGCTGCCAGACTTCCCTAGAGAAAAATTTGAAGGCTCCAGAACTGAAATACTAAGAAGATGTCTGTGTGCAGGGTACTTTATCAATGTAGCTAGGAGGTAAGTAATGGAGTTTGCAGAACAGGATAGAAAAGATAGGATGTTGTTGTTGTTGTTGTAGTACTTGCATATTGAAACAGAATAGCTAGACTGCAGTATTTTAGTTTTTCTATCTATGAAATGAATTTCAAGGCGATAAGCAGTTGAAGTTGTTGCGCTAAAGGGTATTGAAGGTGTCAGGTGATTATGAGTACCAAAAAGACTAAAAACTCAAACCCTGTTTATCATTGCATAGCTAGACCTACAAGGTTACTCTGGTAAATCAGAAGGATATATTTTATTCCTCATGTTTTTTACATTTATTTCTGGAAGAACTTTGCCTTACTTATATGTTTGAGCATTGTCTACTATGTTGCTGCTGACTTGCTTCGTTTATGTTGTTGTCTAATCACAGCAAAGTTTGTTTCAGTCTATATAAAAATTTTGCTTTTTTTTAGGTCTGTAGGCAGGACCTTTTGCACAATGGATGGACATGGCAGCGTGGTCTGTATCCATCCTTCATCTACAGTAAGTTACTGAGTTACATTAATAAAGTAGCAAATGATCTGCAAAAGGAATAAGAGGAAGTTCACTGTAAACTTTTCATCTTCTGTTTGATTTAATTTATGGCCAGGAAAAACACTGGTGCAGTGTCACTAGAGTACAGTATTTTTTGAGGATAGGGCAGAGCCTTCCTTACCTCTTTGCATTTGGGTTTGGCTTATAAAAGAGGTATGGCATAGACTGAGCTCTTTCTCTGACTTTCTTTTGATTTTCTGTGCAACTTTAAGCAAGTCATTATGCCTAATTTTCCCAGTCTGAGAATTTAGGGTAATGTCAGCTTTACCTGATTTTTACATCTGAAGCATTGGGATACTGCAGTGGATGGTGCTCTAGAAATACTGAAACACTGAAATACTCTTTCTATTTTTCAGTTATACAACCAGGAAACTCAGCTCGAGTGGATCATCTTCCATGATGTCACAGTGACATCCAAAATCTACGTCCGGACAGTGTGTCCAATTCGCTACGAATGGGTCAAAGACTTGTTGCCCAAATTGCATAAAATTGATGCATATGAACTGAGCAGTGTGGCACGGGAAGAAGTAACTGAAGAGGAAATAACCAGGTGGCAATTCAGAGAGGACCTTAAAAGGCAATATGGTAGGGGTATTAGGCACCCGTAGATGTGGATTGGTAGTTGTGGAAATGTCTGTGTGTGTGTGTGGCACTGAATGGCATGGCTGTGTGGTAGGAGGTGTTAATCCGAGTGTGCTTCCTCGTGCTCTGTGTAGCCCGAGTTGTTTTCACATCTTACCACAGCTCTGCAGGTCTCTGCTGCTGCCGTGGCACCGTGGGGAGTGGTGGTTGTGAACGAGTTCTTGTTACACTCCCTCTTCTTCCAGGGTTGCTGTAGCTCGCAGCAGAACTTAAATCAGCCCGGAAGACCGGTTTGGAGTCTAATCATTATTTAGGTTTGGGAAGGGTATTTCTCCTCTAGCTATAGAAATTATTAGTTGCTAAGGTAATGCCATCCTGAGAAAGTGAAAGAAGTGCTGAGGGCAATGAAAAAAAAAACAAAAAACAAAGAGAAGTATCACATATTTTGATGGGTGTCCTTTTTTCTAACAGTGAGTTTACCATATAGTTGTCTGCTTTAATTAAAAGAACTGGTGCATGCTAACTGATCGAGCCACTTGGCATTCTTTGGATTCTTGTCAGCAGGTTTATGAAAGCAGCCAAGTATTCAAGGGGCCTCTCTACTCTTGAGCTGACCCTTCCAAAACATTAATTTAATGTCAGTGCAAACAGTGGCAGTGCAGATTCTCTTCAATTTCACTGCCACTGGATAGACTCTTGTGCTCCAGCAAGGTTCTCCTATCTGTGTTATTGCGTAGAAAACCAATTGAAATGGTAAAAAAAATGAATTGGATTTGGTTATAAATTTGCTGGAAAAGATATTTCCATTATTGGATAAAGTAGGGAAGCTTCATCTGTTAGTTTATTTTAAATCTGAGGAACTGAGGTTTGTTCTGTATCCTCCTCCCCACTGCCCTCTTTTTTTTTTTTTTTTTTTGACTCAGTGAGCATTGTAATTGAATGTGAGACTAATAGTGACCTTACAAATGTTGTGTGTCTGTGAGCTTCATAAACAATAGGTGGCTGAATAGCTGACAAAGGTTTAATTTTTGCCAGTGGCAGGAAAGGCTGCAAGATGAGCTGAACTCTTATTTGTCTCCAGGAGAGAATACTTACAAATCTTTCAGATGTCAGTGCTGATTAAATCTCCTTCTTCCTATCAAAGAATCCAGCACCAGAGCCCTAGGAACAGGCTGCACTAGCTGCATCATTTACCCAATACTTCATTTTTTCGTAGTTTCTGTTTTATGGAAAGTCATTCAAAGACTATCTCCTGCTTCTCTTTCCTTCTGGGAGAAGCAATCCCAAGGTCTCGGCTCAGCAAGGGGCAAGAAGGAATGTGTATTTCTAATAGTGTCTGATCTGGAGTATTGACTTTTCAGATTCCTTTATCTGTGTGCTGTCCTCCCTCCTTCTTGTTTATTCTCAGCTTGCTGTCTGTTCCCAGTGCTCTCCTCCTCCTGCCTAAACTGGAATTTTTTGCAATGTGTGATTTAGTGAAGAAACTGGTACACAGAACACAAGATGCAGTCTCTGTTGTAAAGCAAACTTAGTGAGATATACATTTAGGGGCAGGATGACCCCAACTGCAAATGTTGACATGGGAGTTAAGGCATAGTTATTTTTTCCTCCCTGTTGTGGTACAGTCCGTCTTCTCTGAAAGTTGTTAAAATGACTGATAGGTGCTTGAAAAATGCTTAAGATTCTGTGGGGGTTTGGGGGGGCATTTAGCAAATAGGAGGAATTGTAACACTGTTTTTTTTATTATTTGAATAATAATTTAAAAAGTTTTCTCTATTTTCCTTCCACCTCTCAGAAAGAGTCACAGACGACTCGGCGAAGAAGATGGAGAGAAGGAATGATGAAAAATCAATCCTGGACGCCCGAGCTCGCTACCTGGAGAGAAAGCAGCAAAGAACACAGGGTTTAAGTGGCCCACTGAAAGAAACGGGTTAATACTGAGGGCCGCTCTGCTCCCAGTGTGAGGAAAGGCCATTTGGTGCTGCTGTTCTGATCTGTTTGCATAATGCAAATTGATGTACAGCAACGAAGGAAAACTCCTGGTCGGTGGTAAGTTTGGCTGCCTGGGCACACAAACACGATCCCTGCTGTATTCAGCAAGGAGAAGTTACCAAGCCAAGTTTTGTTGCCGCGTGTCACGGGCAACAACTTACTGACTCGAACGTGGGTGAAGACGCGGCGCTTGCAGTGGTGTCAGTTCTGTGGCACTTAATTGACTTAGAAAGGTCTCAGAGGTTCTGGGTGCCATTATCAATAAAATTTTCTTTAAAACAAACGACAAAACAACCAACCAAACAATTTTTTAAGGGAGTGGAACTGTAATTTTTAAATCCATTTTACTGTGTATGGTTGTGCTTATACAGTCTTGGTGTGCTAACTCGGGAAAATATGTAGGGAATCCCCTTTTAATGATGGAACCATCAGGATCTAAAATCAAAAATACATTCGCCACAAGCATTTTTGGTGGCAGACAGTATTGTGCCGTATCGTGTACGGTGCTGGTTCTGGGTGAACCGGTCTTTGTATGCAAAGCATTTTGTAGATGTATCTTCACGTTCCTGCCAACAATACACCTTTTTTTAGTCAGGAATGACTTAGCACTGCATGTTGTTTTCTGCTTGGCAAAAAAACAGCTGTCAATCCAGTTCTTAGCCAGGTTGCATCCTGCAGTCCATCAGCAGGCTGCTGCCTACTGTTTTCTTTTTTTTTTTTTCCTGAGTTTAGTGGCTGCTATTTTTTAAAATATATGGATTTTGGTCTGAAGAATGACCATTCCTAATTTGTATAAAGAATACATAAAGGAATAAAGAAATTTTAGCATTATTCTGACTCAGGTTTAGTAAAGTAAAGAGTTGTGACTCTTTATCTTCTTATAATTTGTTTCCTTTTCGATAAAGAGATAGTAAATCTCCTACCGTCACCTTAATCATCTCAAATGCTGCAGCACAGAGCTTGTCCTTCCTGCTCTGGTTCATTTTTACATTTTGTACAGGGCAATTTCTGAAATACTAGAAGAACCTGGCGGTACTTTTCATGCCTGAGCTGTGGGCAGCAGGGTAGCTCCTTCATGCACTTTCTGCTTTCCCAGCTGAAGCATCTTGGAATTTTTTTCCACGTGATCTTCACTGTGGTCTTGTGCTGTTGGCCTTACCCGGAAAGGACAGGCAGGAATATCCTGCTGCTTTCAACAGCTGCCGTCTCCTGCGGGCATTTGCTCCTGTTTAATATCAGTGCGGTACTATCACTGTCTCCGCTCAAGCAGTGTTGCAAGCAAGCCTTAGCACTTGGTGTAAAATGTTAAGAATCCCTGCTCTGTACTGTGCGGGCCAACCGCAAGCTCCCAAGGCTTAGATTCTCCAGGTTATGCTAAGAATACTGAGGCCCCTTTCTGCGATTAAAGTGTAAAAGGTGAGTGTGGTCTGTGTGTGTTCCGGGTTTTCCGAGGCGGGAGAGCCGTCGCCTGCGGCTGCTGTGCAGGTTTCCGTCATGCAGTTCCCAACTGCAGCCTTGCTGCTGCCTCCCTCTTTTCTGTGCGCACCCAGCTCCTATGGCAGCGAGATTGAGGCCTCTTTCCCAGGGAATGGGTGAATCAAGCAATTTCGAGTTGCGATCCCTCTTTGCAGGAGGTGGCAAAGCCCACGCGTCTTCTGTTGGGCCCTTTATCATCTGTCCGCATTTGTTGCTCGAAGGCCTCTTTGGAGCACCTAGTACTTTTTTTCATTAAACGTATAGCCCGATTTCTGCCAAAGCCGACACATTATCACTGTTTATTTGGTGATTTCTTTTTTTTTGTTACTGCCTTTGCACTGTCATAGCCACCTGCAAGACAGATGCCCTGGATGTGCGACCAGGAGTTGTGCCACCCACGGGCGCCTGGGGCCGTGTATCTGCGGCAGCTCATCACGCCAGTATTGCCTTTGTTTCCCTTAGTAGTGGGTTTTATCTGCTGCTTTTCCCCCTGTGTGTTCTGTGTGGGCAAGAGGGCTCCAAGCTGGCGGTTTGGAGCCAAAAATGATACTACAAAATAACTATGAGATTGCAAAATAAGGGAAGATAAAGGAAAGCAGTAGGGAGGTCTGCTGGGGGTCCCAGTCCTGCAGCAGCTGGGCTCTCTGGTTGGAGGGATGTGTGAAGATGTAGGTGCTGCAGTAATTAAGTAGAATAAATCTTGTTTCTATGGCCCTGGTGCCAACACAGTGAATAAATGGTGCAGGAAATGTGAGGTTTGGTTGTGTTACTCTCCATGTTAACAATGTTACAGCGAGAGGGGCCTTAGGCCCAGGCTGGGAGCTGCACAGGCCGCTGTGGGAGGGAGAGCCCGTCCCCACGCAAGAATTGTCTGGGAGGGGGGAAAGAGGAGAGTGGGTTTTTTTAAGGCCCTATTGGTGCGTAAAATGAGGGGAAAGGGCTCCCTGATGGGGAAAAAAACAGGGGTTTTTGTCCCCCTCGTCGCCATGGCAACCGCGCCCCCGGCCCGCGGAGGGAGACGCGGGACAAGGTC